CGGTAAGTTTATCCCAATCGCTTTTGGTTTGTGTTGGGTGAACGAGAACGCCGTTTAGCTGGTGGCGAACGCGTTGCGGGCGGGTACACGAAGGCAAGAATGACTTCGGCGATCTATCCAACTTACATGAATGTAACACGGGAGCCATCAGTTGGAATGACCCTCCCTCCCCCTTCTCTGGTGTCCTTGCTCGCAGGACCTGAAGCACCTGATCTACTACCGCTTCAACACCGGACCCGTCGGAAAGGGTCCCGGGTGCGGCTTCTGGGCCCCCGGGTGGCGAGTCTGGATCTTCTTCCTCAGGGGGGTCGTGCCGCTGATCGAGCGGTGGCTGGGCAACCTGCTCGCGAGGCAGTTCGAGGGCAGGTGAGGGGGGGGGCACGCGATGAATACGGGGAGGAGGTGGGGGGAGGGTGTACTCATAGCCGTGCATGCGGTCGTCCTTAGATGATTGATTTCGCATCCCTACGAAGCCGGGACGGAGCACGCCGGGTTCTCACCGGCGAGAGGACGGGGGGGGGAGGGGCAGGCAACGTTGGTGTGGTACAACGTGGGGCATTTTTGAGTGGTGTTCTCTCTCTCTCTCTCTCTCTCTCTCTCTCTCTCTCTCTCTCTCTCTCTCTCTCTCTCTCTCTCTCTCTCTCTCTGACGAGCTGTGAAGGAGGCGAGTCGTGTCGTGCTCCCCGCGTCTCCTCACACCCCTGTCTCTCCACGGTACTCGTTGCCGCTGTCCCTTTGCCCCCTCCCCCAAATCACCGTCACCCACCCGTTTTCGTCCTCCTCCTCCTCCTGTCAGGCATTCTAAGGGCATCGCCAAGTCGGTGACCAAGCAGAGGGTCGAGTCTCACTTCGACCTGGAGCTGCGAGCGGCGGTGATGCACGATATCCTGGACATGATGCCCGAGGGCGTCAAGGCCAACAAGTCGCGCACAATCCTGCAGGTAATATTAGCATAGAAGTAGATGCTTGTATGCATAGGTGCCTTTTTACCTCGCCTCTTTTTTCGTTTGTTGCGTGTTGGCGTGTGATGCTCGAGGGGGTCAAGGCGAACAAGTCGCTCACCATCCTTCAGGTGCAGCATTAAGTGCCTCTTTCTTACCCCACCTTCCCCCTTTCTTTTTTTTGGCGTGTGGTACCCTTAGGTTTACGTGCCCGTTCAATCATGTGTGTTTTGGGGGATGTACATGGTTGATGTTTTTGGGAGTCCTCTTCATTTGTTATCCATCAATTTTCATGATATGGTACCCCTGTCCCCCCTGTCTCGTGCGTTTTGTGTGCTGTGTCTCGATGTGAACGCAGCACCTGAGCGAGGCCTGGCGTTGCTGGAAGGCCAACATCCCGTGGAAGGTGCCGGGTCTGCCGGCCCCCATCGAGAACATGATCCTTCGCTACGTCAAGGCCAAGGTGCGTGTCTCGAAATCTCGAACGACAGAGGGACGCCAGAAACGCCCTTTGTTGCACGCAACACGCCACATGTCCGTCCTTTGCCCCCCCCAAAGACGAGCGAACTATCTCTCTATTAACCCCCTCTCCGCGAGTCTTTGAACCTATGGTCTACTTGGGCGAGGTTACCCCCAAGTTTCTTATTGTGATGGAAGGTCGTACCCTTTTGGCCCCCACGACGAGCTAGCTCCCTTATGAAGTCCCTCTCCGCGACAAAGGCCTACAAGGAAGCGCCTTCCGCATGGACGGAGGTTATCATTATCTGTCGTACCCCTCTGGACACCGGCTGAATCGCCGTCTCTTCTTGTCTCACGGGCTGATTTATCTCCCTCGCCTGTAGACGTGGGTACCCCCCCCCCCCTCGCCTGTGGACGTGGCGCCTTGCTTTAGGCGAGCCTGAGCGTTGTTGTTCCCTCCCCCCCTTGCCCCACGAACGCGGTAGTACAATATGGGGCATAGAGAGCGCCCGGATTACCTTGGGGGGAGTGTTCTGCCCACACGCCGAAGGAAGCGCGTTGCTGTTAACCAAAATCGAGGGATAGTCAAAGGTCAAACAACTAGTTAAGGCGTACTACAACACATGAATCCCCCCCACCCCCTCCGCCCGCTGAACGGCGTTCTTGTGTGAGCACAGGCGGACTGGTGGACAAACATCGCCCACTACAACCGCGAGCGCATCAGGCGCGGCGCGACGGTGGACAAGACGGTGTGCAAGAAGAACCTGGGCAGGCTGACGCGGCTCTGGCTCAAGGCCGAGCAAGAGAGGCAGCACAACTACCTCAAGGTATGCATATCTGTAACATATCGTTGAATATGATACGGGGACTGCTGTAGCCGCCCAAATGCCTTGGCCCTCTGGATGGTATGCGGCTAATATGCAGGGGATCACTACTGATGTACTATATAGGCTGCTGTCGCTCTCTTTTCGTCCTTTTGGTAGAGTTCGTTGTCTCTTTCGTCTTGTTCTCGTGGTAATCGTGGCTACGTTATTGCCCGATGTGTGCGATAACTGCCGTTGTTGTCCCGGGGGCAGGATGGTCCGTACGTGAGCCCCGAGGAGGCCGTGGCCATCTACACCACCACCGTGCACTGGCTCGAGAGCCGCAAGTTCTCGCCCATCCCCTTCCCCCCGCTGTCGTACAAGTACGACACGAAGGTGAGAGAGAGAGAGAGAGAGAGAGAGAGAGAGAGAGAGAGAGAGAGAGAGAGAGAGAGAGAGAGAGAGAGAGAGAGAGTACAGGGAGGGGGGAGGTTTCGACGTTTACCTTCGGGGAGCTGTAGCCGTGGTATGTAGCGGCCTCGTGTCGTGGTCAGTCGCGAGTGCGATAAAGAAAAAGGGGGGTGCTGGGTTTTTCTTGTGTTGTTGGTTGTTTGGTTTTTTGTCAGAGCATAAGGGGAGAAGAGAGGAAGGCAGCAGTGAGCGAAGCGTGACCCGTGGGTGTTGCTGTTCTGCCCACCCTCCCTCATCTGCCAAGCCGGGATGTAATGTATTTTTTTTCGCGAGAGTGTGCGCACCCTTTTTTTTTCATTCTTTCCTGTGCGGCTGAACGTGAGCTGACGTGAACTGGATCACCTAAGCACCATGCCCTTTGTCTTTCCCTTGTGAAGTTACGAAGTAACTATCATTTACTCGTTTTCCACACACGCACACACCCTGCCTGGCTGAAGGTAACCTAAAATAACCGAAGCACCATGCCCTTTCTTCCCCTTATAATAATAATGATACTGACGTTTTGTTTACCCCGTCTTCCACCACCCGCTCCCCCCCCCCCCGACCACTTAAATTCATCGCCTCAATCTGTGGAACCCCCTCTCGGCGTCGGCAGCTCCTGATCCTGGCGCTGGAGCGTCTGAAGGAAAATTACAGCGTCAACTCCCGGCTCAACGCCATCCAGAGGGAGGAGCTGGGTCTCATCGAGCAGGCGTACGACAACCCTCACGAGGCTCTCAGCCGCATCAAGCGGCACCTGCTCACCCAGCGCGCCTTTAAGGAGGTGCGATACGTGTTATGTATGAGTGCCCAACCGCGCGCGCGTTGTGCATGGTGTAGAGTTAAATGTGCTGCTGGCCTTGTGTTTGGAGGAGGCGCGGGTTATGTGGCACTGAGTGCGCAACCGTGCGCGCGTTTTTCGTGTCAAGTGCCGCTGGCCTTGTGTGTGGCTTCGATCTCTGGGGATCGCGGCGTTCGTGTACTGTACACGTGGATGCGATTGGCATGGCCCTTGCCGTTTGCATGCAGCACTTGATGTGCGTGCCTGCGGATTAGTTGGTTTTAATCGTTGACGGCCATTTTTTTTGCTTTTCCTTCGGCGTTGCCGTGTGCGTGTGTGCTGTTATGCGTGCATGCGGATTAGTTGGTTTTGATCGTTGGCGGACGTTTTTTCTTGCTTGACGTTCGCCTTTGACATGCAGCGTGTGTGTTCCTTTACGTGCATCCCTGTTGGTTTTTGATCGTAGACGGACGTTTTCTTGCTTCAGCTTTACCCTTCGCCTTGCACGGGATCTGTTGGCGTCACCGACCGCCGCTTGCAGGTGGGTATCGAGTTCATGGACCTGTACAGCCACCTGATCCCGGTGTACCACCTGGAGCCCCTGGAGAAGATCACCGACGCCTACCTCGACCAGTACCTCTGGTACGAGGCGGACAAGCGACACCTCTTCCCCAACTGGATCAAGGTAATTCATGTATAAAAATGTCCACAATTGTCCACACGCACACGATAATTGATGTTCCGCCTTTCTGTTTTGCCCCGCCATGCACGTTAGACCGGCGTAGTTTTCTTGGGTCCGCCGGTTAGCGGGGTTGGTTTTTAATTTTGGGAAACACGCGTGTGTGCCATTTTCGTTGTTTTTTTTCCCACGAAAACGATTTCAAAGTTCCGCCGCTTGTGGAGCTAGCTGGGTTCAAGGTGCTTCCGGTGATTTGGAATGTTCACTAATAGGTATTTAGACCATTAGCACTTTGTTCCTTTGATTTGTCGAATCGTTATCATTCTCATGAAGCCAGGAGCGCGTGCCCTTGTGTGTGTCCCCGCCTTCTTAGCCCACCTAGCGATGAAGTATCCGACAGGAGAAGGATGTACAGCACTGCTGAGAACAGTTTTGGTGGTTTTCGCTATTTGTTGTCGCTGGCGTCTTTTTTGAAGTTACCCTCCGAAAGATGAAACCGCTGTGGGTGGCGACCGTGTCCGTCGTTTCTCCAAGCTCTCCCTCCCCCCTGTTCGGCACTAACGTACCGTCCGTGCTATCCCCCCCTCCCTTCCCCCCCCCCGCCGCCGTCGCCGTTCTTGGACAACAAACAACTTTTTTGTTGTCGTCTGTTGTTGTTTCACAGCCCAGCGATTCGGAGCCCCCGCCGCTCCTGGTGTACAAGTGGTCACAGGGGATCAACAACCTTTCTGAGGTGTGGGAGACCGAGGCGGGGGAGTGCGTGGTGATGCTCGAGACCAAGCTCGAGAAGGTCTACGAAAAGGTGAGTGAGTGAGTGACTGTGTCTGTGTGTTTGTGTTCTGCCGTTCGCGTCGGCCACGCTCTTGTAACGGTCTGACCGATAATGAGGCGGTCTGACCGATCATGAGGCGGTCTGACCAATCGAGGGATGGTCTGACCAATCATGAGACGGTCGGACCAATCATGAGACGGTCTGACCGATCATGAGGCGGTCTGACCAACCATGAGACGGTCAGACCAATCATGGGGACGGTCTGACCAATCATGAGACGGTCTGACCAATGATGCTCCGTCTTGTAGCCGGGCATGAAGCGGTCTGTGGGCGTGCGGGCGTGTGTCTTTACATACCATTGGCCGCGCTAGCCGGCTGGTCAAACGATAGATCAAACGATAGATCATCTCATAGGCGGGGGGGCAAAGAAGGCGGAGATGCCTTGTGTTTGTTGGTGTGCGTGTGCGTGTGCGTGTTTATTATTGTACTAGGCGTCGGCCTCGCGAACAAGAGGTTTACACGTTTGCTGTTGGAAGGCATGTGTGTGCGTTTGAACATTTTTCCGAGCAATTACGTAGATTGCAGCATTATTTTTTATACAATACGCACTTGAAATATCACAGGAGCCCAGACAGCACTAGATTTGGTCGACCACTTCGATGCGGTCATGTTTATGTGGTTGGGTTTCCTATCATAGAGGGCGCGTGCGGTTGGCAAACACAAGCCTGTAAGAATATCTGCCCGCCCGATCTCGCAAAGGTACGTCCGAATCCCCCCCCCCCCCCCAAGCCGTACGCAAGGAAGTACTGTCCTGGCGTCCGTCTTGACTTGGATTCCCCCTGCCCGCGGTGTTCTCGGTGTGTGGAAACACGCACACACAGGTGGACCTGACGATGCTGAACAGGCTGCTGCGGCTGATCGTGGACCACAACATCGCCGATTACATGACCGCCAAGAACAACGTCATGATCTCCTACAAGGTTAGTCTTATAGCCTAGCCCTGCGTTGCTTGCTTGCGTGCTTGCTTGCTTGCTTGCTTGCTTGCTTGCTTGCTTGCTTGCTTGCTTGCTTGCTTGCTTGCTTGCTTGCTTGCTTGCTTGCTTGCTTGCTTGCTTTTTTCTTGTTTGCGTTTGAGAACGTTTGGTTGCTGTACCCCCACGAAGATTGGTTACAACGCGAAGGCTGTTCTCCCGTGCTGCTGCTAACAAACCTTACCCTGCTGTTTCATGCGCTTAACGCCTGGAAAACAAACAAGCAGCGGTCACTCTTCCTTGTTTCGTTTGTTCATAGGCGACCGACCGCACAAGAGGACGTGGTGTACCCACCCACCCACAAAACCAACTCGTTGCCAAGCAAGCACCCTCTTGACGCTGACAACTTCTCTCATTTGCTCGATGTCCTTGCTTTCACCTTTATGTCTGGATTGATTCTGGGGGTTGGGTGAAAATGACAACAGGACATGATGCACACGAACTCGTACGGCCTGGTGCGAGGGCTGCAGTTCGCCTCGTTCATCTTCCAGTACTACGGCCTTGTGCTCGACCTCCTGCTGCTGGGGCTGACCAGGGCTTCCGAGATCGCCGGTCCGCCCACCATGCCGAACCAGGTACGCTTGGTAGATCTACGGTATCTACGAATCTACTCGTGGGACCATAGGCCCACGTTGATGGGTGGGTGAGTGTTGTTGGCTGGTTTGGATACTTTTTTTCTTTTGCGTGTTTGGGGACGCCATATGCTGGAATTCTTGCTGCTTTCCTGCTGCTCCCGCCCGTGGTCCTTTGGCCTTTCTCGCTCGGACTGCCGAGGTCACTGCTCGAATGTTCCGTGCTCGATGCAACGTGGACTACATGTGACAAGGTTCTGAAAAACTGGTTGTTTCGCGTTCTCCTCGCACACACACACACACACACCGACCCTCCACTCGCCTTGTCGCCCGCCTTGCGA